GTGCGTGTGTGTGTGTGTGTGTGTGTGCGTGTGTGACAGAGAGAGAGAGGGAGGGAGGGAGGGTGAGACCTTGGGGGGAAAAAATAGCTGAAAACAGCAAAACCTCCTTTTGGGGATGTGTTTAAAAAGAAAAGTGGTTCACTACCTGAGAATGTTGAACTGGATGTAGTAAATCACTGTGCAGGTTTGTGTTAACATATAATTTGCTTTATTTAACAAACTAAGTCTATAGTATAGGCCTCCTTTTAGACAGGCAAATGTGCATACAGTATCAAAAAGGGAAAAGTTCGTTGTTTTGTTTATTTCCAAATAAATTTAACAATAAAACAAGGACAAAGAGAGAAAACACACACACACATGCTAGCAAAGATAACAACATTTTGGCTACATTTAATAGTGGGTTAAACGAACATATAATACATAAAGCTGTGAAAAAAATTTAAATGTAGTTTCATTTTTCTCAGAATGCAGTGTGCCCTTTTAAAACAGCATTGTCTGATGTGATGTTTTAGTGGTTGTTCTTGGCAGGGTTTGTTAAATGCTGTCAGATAGTCTCATACTACAGTGTCTATGTAAAAGCCCTGCCAGGTTGGATGTTGAACGCCCTGCCACTTCCGTCTGCATTCTCTGTCCTTGACGGGAGTTTCAATTTGACTCAACTTGATCTGGTGTGCAAAGGATGGGATGTGAATGGGAAAGACATCAAAAATACAATGATCATCCAAGGGCAACGTATTAATTAGTCAAAGATCTGAAAGTTTAAATCAATCCATAAATAAATAAATATTTGTTGGTAAATGATACTATCAAAAAGTGTAATCACTATATGCTATTATTAATAATATAATATAATATAATATAATATAATATAATATAATATAATATAATATAATATAATATAATATAATATAATATAATATAATATAATATAATATAATATAATATAATAAATATAATAATGACACAGCATTGCTAACCAGTATTATAAGACAGCGGCTATTTGCACTAAGTGTAAATAGCAATTAGATGCTATTTACACTAAGTGCAAATAGCATATTTTCTTAGCGATAGATGCTATTTACACTAAGTGCAAATAGCAATGGATTCTATTTACACTAAGTGAAAATAGCAGTATTTTTAACAATATGCTATTAACACTAAGTGCAGATAGCGATAGATGTTAAAATAGCAGGATTTTCTGCTATTTATACTACTTATTGTAAATAGTGGCAATTATCTGCACCTCAGAATTATATTACATTATAAAACAGTATGCAGTAATAACGTATTGAGTGTAAATTATAATTTTAATTCAAATTATTAAATGGATGCCACCTTATTGGAACAATAAAGCCCTCCCTACACCTATCCTAACCCAATTTAGTGATTATTATTAATCCCAACTTTTTGATTATTTCCTTAATTTTTATTGAAAATAAATGCCTTTCCGATGTAATATGAGATTTGAAAAGGGAGGAAAAAAAGTTCGGTAAAAGGCAGATTCGAACCCGGGTCGATCGCGGCAAAAACGCGCTTTACCAACTATGCCGCTAAACCTGACGAATGACGCTCGTGTTTTATAGTAGGTGGAGCTAGTGTAAATAGCCTCTGCCAACAAGGTGGGCCATTTGCACTTAGTGTAAATAGACACTCCGATATTGTAATGAGAGCCCAGGATTACTAATTGGCGTATTTAAATATGATATTAGCTACAGTCTTATATCTTCATTATTTTTTATGAGACGTCAATCGAATGGATAACTTTTCTAATACTCTGTAATACACTGATTTAAATTATAGAAATATACTATACCTTTTTCTAGATGTAAAATATACGTTTTATATATTTATATCTTAATTCTTTATATATATGTAAATAATATTTACCCGCAGAATGAAAACGGTGCAAGTCATTACCAGCCCATATATGGTCATGACTCCTAGCACCACCCAAAAAGCCAGGTGATCAGCATGTTGACAGACGGCACTCGGTTTAACTGGTCTCCCTGTTGAAACACACAAATGTTGGATTTCTATGTTTTATGGGGGCATTCCATAGACATAATGGTTTTTTATACTGTACAAACTTTATTTTCTATCCCCTTACCCTAAAACCTACCCATCACACACCACATTCTGCATTTTTAGATTTTCAGAAAACTTTATTCTCTATGTTTTATAAGCTTGTTTCCTCAGGGGAACCAAAAAAATGTCTCCACAAGGACAAGGAATTTGGATACTGCCATCTTTGTTGGGATAGTTTGTCTCCATAACATAGGGCATACCTCAGCCACACACACACACATTGGGTTTCCATGTTTTATGGGGACTTTCCACAGACATAATCATTTTTATATTGTACCTTTATATTGTAACTATAGGCTATATTCCATCCCCTAACATTCTATATATTCTATACATAATATATTCTAATTTGGGTATTACTACATTTTTTAAAATTGACAATTTGTCCCGACACAGCAGGGAATACCTGAACCACACACACACACACACAGAGAAAGGAGTGACGCAAAATGTGACTTTTAACTGTACATTAACCAGAGCACAAATTATAAAATCTTTGAATTACAAATTGCTAATTGTATTGCCAATTGTTTAATGCTGTTGACAATGACAATGTTCCATAACAACTATAGTGAACATACCTTCAACAAACACAATAGTTTGTGGTTTGTGCTCCACTTTCTGAAATGGAGGAGGAAAGATTCTCTCGGCCTCACAAGTGTAAAGGGCTGTAGTATTCATCGTTACACTGTTCAGGATAAAACTGGTACTGTTATTCGTATTATTAACTTTGAAACTGGCAGGGAAATCTCTTCTCGGGCTGTTGTTATTTTTGCTGATGGATGCATTATTAATAGTGATATAAAAGATCTCTTCTGAGCCTTTATATAATTTGAAGACCATTTCTGGTGCACTGAGTACGGGGCAGGGTATGGTAACACTGCTGTTCAATGCCACGTGTTGAACTGGTGGTAGATTACCTGCGGTGTAGAGGAGACAAAACATCTTAAAACTGCTTAATACACCGTTTTTAAGTTTTAACTTTTAAAATCTGAAATTTGTCATTATATACTTATATTACATTATTTACTTTGTCTGTAGTTTTTGCAGAATCCACAAATCACCATAGTCACCCACGTTATCAAAAAAAGACAGCGTCTGTTCTCAAGATCAATTATAGGCTACCATAGTATATGCACTTCTTTTTTTTACTGTTCTGGATCAGAACAGTGAATTATGCTTGTTTTCTTTTCAATCCCTAGTGGTCTGAGGAAACTTCATGTAAAATTAATGTGCACAGGCACTTTCCTATATACCTAACTCATAAAAATAAAAATAAAAATATAAAACAAGCTGCAAAAGCTTAAATGCCAGAATAACAAAACTGAAGAACAGTTTTGACTGGTTTCTTAATTTCACAAGTATTAACTTTTGCCTGTAAGAGTGGAGAAATGTTGTCATAGAGACAAGTTTCTTTGAGCAAATTGCTTTGAACTTCGCTTTGGAAAAAAAAAAGCAAAAGGAAAGACTGAATCATCCTTCTGCAAAATGATTAACCTCCTCAGTATTTAATTTTCTACTGTTAGAATATCAGTGCAAAACATGTCAGCTTGTTGTAAAATGTACTATTTGTTGCAAAATGACACTGTTTGTGTACTCTATTGTATTTTGCAGCCTCACAAATGAGATGTGGTAAAGTTGGTTTTAAATGAGTCTGGCTGCACAATATTTCATTTAACAAACCTCATTTAATCGGTTAGACTGTATTTTGATTTATACACTGGCATCAAGATGTAAAATTTCCTGAATCCTTTTTCTACTTGTATGTATTTACACATTATAAATATTATCCGTTTTTCGGGCCTATTATAAGTTTTTCTCGTATATATATTTTCTTATATATGATCATGTATTTATATTTCTCTACAATAAGGGCATTTCCCACATTCCTGTCATCCCACACACTTTTTGCCAAGATGTAAGCAAACAACAGGTCTTATAGTATCTTGTAATTGTGCCTTTACATTTGATAATTTCAACATAATATACACATTTTGATGTTATTTATCCTAATTGAGATTTCATATCAGAATTAAGAGTTCATAAATTAGTTTGTTGTAATTCCAACCTCATAAAATGTGATTTTCCAAATGGCTGATAAAACAGACAAACTAAAAGTATCTTGATTCTCGTACAAATAAAAACACTGTATTTCACTTTAACATTTGCAGTGCCCTGTTTTGGGCTATCAGGCCTCTCGACTCAAAGTCCCTGCATTTAAAAATCAGTCCCAGGGCATATTCCATCCCATGCTTAGTAAATAAGGCTTTTGTCAAATAAGTCAAGATGTACTTCTAACCCCCCTTCTATGTAAAGTGCTTTGAGTGCCCAGAAAAGCGCTATATAAATGTAAGGAATTACTTCATATGCTTTCAGCTAATCAGTTAAAAATGATTTAATATGACTTAACACATTAGGTTACACAAACAAATGTAATAACCGAATGTTTAAAGTAAATCACAAAAAAAGAAGATCTTACCTTTGCACATGCTCTGTGTTTCAGATAGGCTGCTATGGAAGAGACAGAGACTTAAGAGGGTCACAGATGTCGTAAAAATCTCCATCTGTTGAATTCTAAGTCTTCACACAATAGAAATGCTGTTGAAAACAGCAGGGCCGCTGACTTTCGTTTTGGCACTGTTTTGCAAGTATAGCGTTCTTGTATGGCAAATTCAACCTTCAGCGTAACAGAAGAACACATCACGAGCCAAACAGGAAGTTTCCATTCTCTGCTTGCACCCTTTGTGGTTGGTGCTATTTGCATGTTAAGGTTTCATATAGTGCGTCTGTTACCGTTCTAATGGCATCATACAGTAGCTGCTGTTTCCTCATTGAGGGCAGGTGGTAAAGGAGACCCCTGTGGGGGTTTTCTAGTAAATGGTCTGTTTGAAGAGTTGTCAGGAGGGGGGTTATTTAGGGTTAAAGTGGTTTTGTACTTGAGAGTAACAGATGCAGAAAATGAAAGAGAGATAGGGAGGATGAAAGAGAACTCTTCCATGTTAAAATGACAGAAACCCTTGATCGGAAAAGACCTGCATGCATTTGTTTAATAAAGTGCATTAAAGGCCTTTTCTGGCAGCCACTGACTCTATCTAACACATGTGATGGACAAGAAAATACCTTTAAGCTGATTTATAGTAAGTCTTCTTGTTTCCTGTTTTTAATCTAAAACTGGATGCACGTCAGAACCATTGCACTTTGTGATCTCTATGGCAACCGATTCACAGAACACTGAAACCATCACCAACCCACGATGCTGCTGATGATCTCTGTTCGTTCTGCTTTTTCCTTGATGGAAAGAAAGATTCTGATTAATTAAGTTTCTTCTTATATTATTCATGAAATGAGAACACATGCAAATAATGAGGTTTTGTGGTTGTCTTTCTATTTAGACCTAAAACTGGAGCTGGTTTCAGACCCCTACATGCACTAGCACCCCCTTAAACATACTTCCTGCGTGAAACACAAAATGTGATAACATTTACAGAGCCTCCCATTCATGAAATATATATATTGTAGTAAATCAGCTCAAAATGGAAATATTTATGACTAATTATAACTGGTTATGATTAATAATAAATATTTAGATTAGATCTTAGAATTAACTGTAGCAGAATCGATATTACCATTACTTGATCTGTCCGTCCACCGAGCAGACAAAATAATCATTTATCAATTCAAAGAAAGATTATTTTCCTGGCCAAGGAAGAATAACTTTCCTTACTGTATATGTGTGTGTGTGTGTGTGTGTATATATATACACAGTGGTACAGTCTTCAAACAGTCTTAATGTATTTTACTACTCTCCAGCATGTGATTCTTATTAAGTGAAGGTCATTTTTGGGATTCTTTACCTAACCTAAGTCTCTGGGAACCTGACACCCTGTACTTCTGGAGACTCCAGCGTAGGTTGCAGTTCTGGAAAATGGTGGTGCTGGAGACTAAAGGGTTCCTGATGGTTTTCCACCTAATTCTTCACCTTAATTCTTATTTTTTTTGCAGTTAACATGTGTCTTTTCTTCTTAACCTGTTATTTTTCTGGCCCTGCTGACCCACTGAGCATTTTGCAATCCAATGGTCATGCCTTAACTTTGCAGTTTCTGTATTGCATTAGTTTTGAATTTCTCATGGACATTTAATAATTTTTGACTTTTCAGTCTGAGTTAAATCTATTTTTTTGGGCTCGTTTTATCTGTAAAAGAAAACCTGATTAATTACTATGCACACCTGACGTTTTTCATTTTCAGCCTTCATGGACAATTGTATATCACTTACAGGTAAATGATTAAATTCCAAATTATTAATAGTAATTAAGATCGATGTGGTTTGGAAATGTGCTTGTAAAAAAATATGATCAGAATATCAACTTGCATAATAATTGTGCACACTCTGTAATATATTACCTCATTTATATAATTAATAAGGAAAAAACACTTAATGATCATTTAAAAAAATTATTTGATTTTGCCTACGGTTCAATAGACTATTCTGTATAAAAAAAAAAACAGAACAACAACAACAAACAAACCTATACATTTTATATTTTATGTTTTAGACGGTTAAAGTGCCAAAGAATACACCAGAGGAAAAGCTTGCAACCTTTTATAATAAACAAAGCACGACTGTTGCATTTATGGTTTTGTCCGCTGGGGGGGGAGAACATTACTACACTTTCTTAAAAATGTGTTGCTTCGTTCTTCAAAACAAACAAACTATCTATCTATATAACCGACTAACTAACTAACGAAATGCTCATTTTGTTACAGTTTTTTACATTTCACTTTGGAGTTTGTAACCTATCTTTACCACATGATGTGAAGAAAAAAATATCTACAGTTCCCTTTCATGGGAACTTCGAACTGCGTCCTCTAGGGGTCGCTATCACACGCACACACACACACACGTTTTCTTTATCTTATTGGAAATACAGTATTTCCCAGGTAAAAGCCAGGCTCTTTTCCAATCTATATCGTCAACCAAAGACCTTCAGTAGAACTTTCCATTTGGCGAAATCTTCCTTTTAAAGGGGTCATATGATGCTTTTTTAAAGATCATTATTTTGTGTATTTGGTGTAACAGAATATGTATCAGCTTGTAACACTCCAAAGAGAAAGGAAAACTTGAAATCGCATCATATGACCCCTTTAAATTGAGAAATTTGGCGCACATGCCTATTGTTACATTTCTTATCTAACAAATGAATACCTTCAAACAGTAGGCTAAAGCAGATCGTGTAGATAGCCTACTGTACTTTTATTATTCTAACTGCATATAGTTCAGTACCATAATACACGCACATGTGCTGCCTGTTGTCCTCATGCACCAGTAGTAGCGGCCCGCTGTTGTTCTCTTGTGGAGACACGGGAGATCCACGCACCTCCTTGAGATCGGCTGATTGGTCGAGCGCTGAATCTGGGCAGGACAGGAAACGGGACGCGAGGAACGCGCAGCAATCTCCGTTCTCCGGGAGAGAGAATGGGAGAGGAAACCGAAATGTGTCAGTAGAAGACTTAGAAGGATTGAATCGGGCAAATGAATAATTTGCTTTTTTAGTATATATATATCGCGCTGTTTAGCACCAGTGACCTGGGATATTTACCTTTAACATTACTCTTAATAATTATCGGCTGTTTTCATTGCATAAAAGAATTGCAGAGCTCTTCGCCGCTGGGTAAGTGGATACTATTATCTCATCTTTCTTGTGTCTGATACTCATACATAGGCTTTAACTTGTGCGGCGTTCTGTTGTAAAAGTGGGCTTACATTAGGAAAGGGCTGGAAGATCCCAAACTGGTTTAGTTATACTGTCTGCTGTTGTTGTGTGTCGTTATGAGAAAATTGACTGGACAAAAAGACATGAAGCGTGTTAAAGAAAGGGGTCGAATTCATCTTAGTCATTTGACAATGGGACAGTTCCTACGTGCACAAAAGCTCTGCATCATCAGAAAAATGAATTTGGCTGACCAGGTGGTGTTTTTTTTTTTTTTTTTTGCAGAACTGTAATAAGCTCGTGTGATTATACACGTTTGGCTTTATCTCCAGTTGAGTCAAAAAAGCCTCTGGTTGTTCTGGGTGTGTGGCCGAGTAGCCTATATGTACTGTGGCTATAGCGCATGGTCTAGTGATCAATGTGACATTTCGAGCATTTCATCATGTTACATTTATCTGCCAACACTTTAACAGAGAAATAAAAAGTCCGTCACGTGTTTTCATTCAACGCTGTATGTCGGCTTGATCCTGGGTGTGTTCATAACGCCCATAAATTGCATGCCCCCTTCACCCCACGCTGGTGAAGGTAGTTGTTTTATTTTCACGCAGTGTAATTATGCGTCCATTTCTGCGCTTTAAAATTAATATCACTTGAGACAATGTTGTCAGCTCGCTGGTCTCCACCCTATCGAGCCCGTAGGCTAGCATGTAGTTCTGGATTTTAAACCATACATCTCGATCTGATAACCCTATAGGGTTGATAAATGAATGAAAGCAGTTTATTAAGATATTGAGGGGGGAAATGCAGGCTATGTAAAGATTTCCGGCGTGTTTAAGCGTCTTTTATTTGCATGTCGCGTGCGCTCTAGGCCATCGATCGTGTCCAGACTGTGTTCATTGTCCTGCTGCAGTGAGGTCCTAAATGTGTTTGTCACATATCATTTTCCAAGTATTTTCAATATCGTTTTTAATGTAATTCTTCATCCATGTCCACGAATGGTCATTGAATCGTGATGTTGCGCCCATGTTACTGTTAAAGAGGGTCTAAATATAATTGGTGTTTATTCTCAGGATATGTTAAACAGGGATTGTCCCTACAAGCCTGGTTCATGAGAACAGGGAAATGACATCAAGACCTGTAATTTATTGGGGACAATTCGAGTGCTACTTTTGAGATGTTATTGTTCATGGACACACCTCAGTTTTATAGTTGTAAATTACTCATTAATGTCATACAGAACGTGTCTAATCGGGATGAAAAACTGTACTTTTACACCAATCATTTCACAAATATGTAACAAATAATTTGAACCAGACTATCTGTACATAACTGTGTCAAAAAAAAACAGTGCAGGCTGTAACTGCACTGGTGAGTGAAGCAAATCTAATTTGTTTTCCCTGGTAGGACTAAATTACTGACTGCAGCTTAAGTATATTTGACAAGATCCACTGAGGGGTGTCCATGCTTTTCAAGTGCTTCTACCAAATAAAAGTAATGTAGTGAGAGATTGAATTATAGGAAGTTTCTCAATAAGTCCTTGTCACTTTTTCCTATTTCCTTTTCAGTCTGTGCTCTTCAGTTGTGTCCTTTTTTAGTCTGCTCTAGCTGTTCACTGTCAGAGGATGTTGTCTATGTCCTTAATAGCTAATGGGTAGAAAAATAAGAAAATGAGTATTTGGTCCATGTTTTCCCATTTTTCTCAGTTCCTTGTGCACTGCCATGCAGAGAAGGGAATCTATGGTCCTCTAGGCATGAGTGTGGACAAAGCAGTTTGGATGAGAAAAACAGCTGTCGCTAATGCATCACAGCGAGACACATATCTAAGTTGTCTATGTGTGTCAGCAGTTTAACTAAACATGCTTTTACAGTTAACGCCAAATTTGCAGGAGATAATCCAGGTTTGCATGGGGCAGTTTTATATAAAGTACATCATCTCCATCCTCTAGTCCAGTGTTTCTCAACCCTGGTCCTGGGCACTCCCCAGCACTGCACATTTTGTGTGTCTCCCTAATGAAACACGCCTGATTCAACTCATTAGCTCATTAAAAGAAACTCCAGGACCTGAAATGGGTGTCAGATAAGGGAGACATACAAAATGTGCAGTGTTGGGGGGTGCTCAGGACCAGGGTTGAGAAACACTGCTCTAGTCGCTACATTGTTTTTTTTTTTTTCAAATACATTTTTGTTATTAGACTTTTGCCAGTTTTTTTTTTTTAAAAAGAGAGAGAGACTTTGAGTTGGTTCCAAAAACAGTGCTTTTTTTGTTCAAGAGCTGGGGCCACACAAAATACTCAGATGTTAGTTGGTGTTATTTTACCAAAGCTCCCCCTCAGAAAAGGGGGCAGACCTTCAAAGAGAACTGTAACCCTCCGTGAAACAGTCACCAGGGAAAGTGAAACCAGATAGGTCCTCAGCAGCTGCAAGGATCCGCAATGGAGCACCTGGAGGCCAGCGAATGCCCTGCTGGTATAAATGCTTGGCACCAATCATCAGGTGTGCTTGGTCCTTCACTTTCAGGCCTTTCATAGCCAGACTCTTCGAAATCAGCTGTCTCTAATTTGCCTTAAGTAATTTGCCCAACGTTAACTCCCAGACAGAACTGATTAAGAAACAGTTGAGAATGATTTAGCAAGGAGTGCAAAGAAAGCAGCTTTTAATCAATAAAAGCATATTATTTTCTTTTGCATGTTTTGGATATCTGTGGCTTTGGACATTGGGGAGAGAGTGTTTTAAAAGGAACTGTGAGTTGTGTGTGTCTGTTATTTTTAAACTAATTTACCGTGCTTAAACTGCATTTACTATCCACTTATAAAATAAATTGCTTCAGGAGAACAGTAGGCTTATTTAACAGTGCAATTGTGAAGAAATTCGATTCAGACAGGCTTTATGTATTACATTTATGTGCAGAGCAGATTAGGCTACACATTAAATTCATCCTCATTAAAGGGATAGTTCCCCAAAAAATGAAAATTCTGTCGTCATTTATTCACTCTCATTTAAATCCAAACCTGCATGACTTACTTTCTTCTTTGGAACTGAATCAAAGATTTTTTTGAGAAATGCCTCGAGTGTTTTACAATGTAAGCCAATGCTCACCAATACTGTTTAGTTTCCAGCATTTCAAAAAATATCTTCTCTTATGTTTCACAGAAGAAAGAAAGGCATACAAGTTTGGAACAACATATGAGCAAATGATGACAGAATTTACATTTTTGGGTGAACTATTCCTTTAATAAATTTAGTGTCTCATTAAATGGAAATCAGTCCGAAATACATAGTTTAAACAAATGATTGAAGCTGAAACAAAAAGTGACATGACGGGTGAATTTACATGCATTTTAAAAGTTCGATTTTGAGTCAAACTCATACAATAACAGACCTACAGTACATAATGGGATAGTTCTTGGGTTTGTCTAGCATCATGTTAATCAGACAACAATCATACTCAGTGTTGTACACTTACACTAAAGGACAGAAGTAACAAAGGTGCATTGTATTTAATCCTTCAAATATTCAATTATGCATTGTGTCATGTATATTTAGACAGACAGATGAAGACTGTAGTTTGACTACGCAAAACCCCCACTGTTAAAACTCTGCATGTAATCTCACTTACTCATTGAAACACAACTAGAATTTGAGTCTTTGTGATGATTCAAACATTAATGTGATGTAGCCACACACTGACTGTCATTCTGGACCAAATATTGACAAATGTACTGACGCCTCTGCTCTGACCTCATCACATTCTAGTGATTTTCTAAAATAACTTTATAGGACAAAATGCTTTCATGCTGCCTCTCATATGAAATGGGGAAAGGTTTGGTGAGATGCTTCTTTATCATTGGTAACTTTATACAACTAAGGCATCCAAACTTAGTTTGGATGGAATTGTGCAGATGTCAAAATGGATGGGGAAAGTTGGTAGAGATGGCTTTTTCTTATTTCAGCTATTCTGGAGAAACGTCTGAAGAAAGTGTTTGCGTGTTTGAAAGAAGTGTTTGCAACACATTGGAAAATTCTTTACTAAAACTTGCTAGTCTGGCAAGAACAAATGAAGTGGCTCATTGCCCAGATTCTGAACTTTATTCTTCCCTTCCATGTGTGTCCCAATGATGTTTGACCTCTCGTGACATTAGTGATCTCACCATGACGACAGCCCTACTTCATCCAGCTGGAAAAGATATCACTGAGTGTTCTTCCCTTCCCTCAGAACAGAGTTTTCTGATTCAGTACGTTTACATTAGAGAAAGAGAGGGATGACCATAAGAAATACACTGAACGAAAACAAGAAGATGTAATTAAATTAATTACACAATTAAATAAATTAATAGAGCGTACAATGAGGGGCAAGAAGAATGCATCAAATCCAGCATCGGGATGATCTCATTTATTAAAAAGCTGTAAGGTCATATCTCTGCTCTGAGAGTGAGTGAATGAATGAAAGGAACGAGATGGGTCAGAGCATATCCGGTCACCACTGTGTGAAATGTCAGCCCTCATGGAGTTATTTATTTGTTGCTTAATTGTTTATGGTTGCAATATTGTTGCTTATTCATCCACTGCAAATTCCAGAAAGTTTGCATCATATCCTTTTGGAAATACAGTTGCCATCTGAAAGCAGTGAATCTGTATGTTGGGAAATTTGAAGTTCAATGAAAACAAAATGTTTAGAATGACGATATGAAATTAATTTAGCTGTATCTGGTTGTACAGGCTGATGATATCTGACGATTGCAATGGAGCCATTTTGTGCTGTTTTTAGTGCACTGGCACAAATGTCATATTTCTTTATATGATTTTGAAGAAGTTATTTTAGACAGTGAAACACTCTCTTCCTCATGCTACCAGCAGTCTACCAGTAACTTTAACAACTTTATCAGTTGTTAACAGTCTTTAACAACTGATTTTCATTTGTTAGCTATAAATGTAAGCTTGTTCTACAAATGCTCGTTTCAGCA